GCGCTTTTGCCGCTGAGCTAAATTCCCAGCCCAGAATTAACTATCTTAAAGAGGTCAAAAGCTTGGAATGTAACATAGGTAGTATACATCTGTTTCCGTTTCTCAGAATTTCCTTTCACAAGAAAATGATGGATTCCACCTAAGACCTTCTGTCATGGATACCCCTATTATCTTCACTTTTCAATCTGCCCTGCATTTGGAATTGTTACACTGTCAAGACCATACTAAAAAAAAAACCTCTAAACTTCAGATAACTCTATTTTTGGGTTTCTTTCAAAATAACTTTTACTAAAACTCTTTACTCTAAGGCCTATGTAACTGGGCTCAGAATTAACTATCCTGAAGAGGTTAAAAGCTTGAAATTCAGAGGCCAAATTGCTATTCCTCTCCTCTACATGCAAATTTCTCCTTATTCTTCAGCTGCCTCACCTGCTGAAGTCCTTCAGAAGTGGAAGCATCTCACTGTTGTGTCTATGACAACTTCTAGGAGGCTCAGTCAACTAGGAGACTCCGGCCTACATGTCTCACTAAACTTCAGGTCCCATTCAGTCCTCCTTCTAACATACGCTGTATTCTAAACAACAGAATCCATAAGCTTTAGTATCCACTTTTTCGATTAGAGAACATTATCTAACTTTCCCACACTGCTGAATTCAGCGCTGGGAATGTAGCTCAGTGGCATGGTGCTTGCCTGGTAAGTGCGAGGTCCTGAGTTTGAGTCTTGGTTCCAAAAAAAAAAAAAGAACCACACTGCTGAATTCTAATTCACCTCTTTAAAGATTCCCTAGGATTAAGAACATTAGCAATAAATTACTGGATTAAAATAGTTGTACTAATACCATACCCCATATTCAAGGAGAGACTCATGTTGGCAAAAGTGGTATTAAAATCTAACTCCCTCCATGTAGTGTAAGAAAGACATAGTACAAGTCATTTGTTTGTAACAAAGATGCAAGTCACTAGACTCACTTCCTTGAAGGCAAGAAAAAGCATTACAGAGATAGTACATGCTTGGTATCAGAATTAAAGCATTACAGAGATAGTACATGCTTGATGTCAGAATTATCAAACCCCTGGATTACATGGAGTGCTTACAGAATATAACCACCCTGAAAGCCATGCGGCTTTCTTCACAAACAGGTAGTTTCCATATAGTTTGTCACGTTGCATCAAAACAGTAACAAGTAAAACTTTCAAATACTAAAAGTCCACTGTTAAGCACATATTCTTTACTTACTAAAAGAGCAAAGCTACCATGCTATGAGGCACAAAGGTGTAAAAGAAATCTAAAATTAGTCCTTTAATGTTGAATGCAGAAGATTGTTCAAGGTTTTGTAGTTAAGTCCAGATAAACAAAGTCCCTTTTAGGCAATGCAAGTGTCCCTCTGAGTAGTCCAAAATGGTGAACTGGGCTCATCAACTTCTCCCCCGTTAAGATCCAACTCTGAGGACAGATACCCTCATTTGGGCATTGAGGAAGAGAAGGGAGGGGTTCAGCAGGCAATATGAAAACCTGATGTGGTATGGTGTTCACTGTCATTTAAGTTAACAAGAAGATTCAGAAGTTACCAGCCTCGTTTAATGTTTTCTTGGCCAGGATCCCAGTAACTACTACTTTTCTTCCAAAGCCTTGCATATGATCAGCAGGAGTATGACTTTTCTAGCTTTCTTTTTAGTAAATTCACAAAGGAAAAACATCTGAAAATGAACACTGAAAATGCAGTCAAAACCTTTTATAGGACAAGAAACTCAAATGTATAAGAACAAAATAACACCAAGATGCTCTGCGAACTATAGCAGTGCTTACACTTTATTAAGCACCAGAATCTCTATCAGATTGGTGCTTTTGCTGCACTCTGCTTTGAGTTTCTGGGTCAGCAGGCCTGCAGTGCAACTCAATATGCTGTATTTCAAATTAGGTCCCCTATGCTTATGATGCTGATGATGGACACACTTTTCAAAGCACTGCAGTAGAATATGAAAAGCACATCTGCCTTGGAGGAGAGAAGAGTGTTCAACAATCAGAAATGTGGATTGAAACGTGTATTAGTGTTAGAAAGGTGATTTTTTTTTCCCCTATGAGTGTTTGTTTGAACTTTGGTCTTAGACTAATCTCTAGCTCTATATAGTCTGGAGTTTTCCTTCCATGGAGAAAGTGGTGGTGAGTGAGGCAACCCCAGAGATCTGAGCATGGAGGAGTCTCCTACCTAAGAGGTCTTCCTTGCCTTGGTACTGCGAGACTGAGGCTTAGACTGAGGCTTAGACTGGAACTGGAACTGGGGCTGGGGCTGGGGCTGGGGCTGGAGCTGGGGCTGGGGCTGGGGCTGGGGCTGG